GTACCCTATCATACACAGACCCTAAGCATAATTTCTCTGGCCCAGTACAAACTTGTAACATACACTAGATATTATTTATACAGTCACATAAGTCATGATATCATGGTGACAGGTCTGTGCCCACTGGACCTTGAATTCCCACCTCCCACCCCCATTTTGGGTCTTTCTTTTCCCACGTAGCAGCTAGTTAAAACTTTTTCAAAACATCCCTGATTGTTTAACCATCATTCTATGTTGTCCTCCACCAGTCAGACTATTTCTGTGTTAAATATGTTGTTAATAAAGATCTTTCTGATGGTTTTCTCTGCAGGCTTTGGAGAACATTTCTGTCTACATGAAATCCAGCCGTTTCATGAAATCACCCATTTTCTGGAGAATTGCCAAGTGGTGCAATGAAAAACAGTAGAGGTGGCAACAGCTGGCAGTGGATGATGATATATGCTATAATATCAACACAGACAACTGTATTATGTGGCGCCTGTAATAGCTGAAATGCTTAAGATTCCAAGATACCAGCTAATAAAAGCCTTTAGTTGCTAACAAAATTGTCTTGGCTTCCTGGGTTCCCAGCTGTAAAACACTCTCCTAATGACTAAAATGGGTGGTTAAATCTGAGTCTAGCAAAATCTGCAGCATATCTGGCTAGCAGATTACCTCATTATAAGAAGAAATGACATTATTTTGTGCATGGTGACCATTTAGAAATAATAATAATAATAAGAGATTGGATTTATACCCCGCCCTTCACTACCCAAAGGTGTCTCAGAGCGGCTTACAAACTCCTTTCCCTTCCCCTCCCCACAACAGACACCCGGTGAGGTAGGTGGAGCTAAGAGAGCTCTGACAGAAACTGCTCTTTTTCAAGAACAGCTCTTATCAGAACTATGGCTTGCCCAAGGTCATCCAGCCAGGTGCAAGTGGAGGAGTGGGGAATCAAACCCGGTTCTCCCAGATTAGAGTCCACGCACTTAACCACTACGCCAAACTGGCATAAGACCCAGTAAAGTGAAAAACTGTCTGCCTGTTTACCTGACACTCCGGGACATTTACTGTAGGAAGGCAGTAAAGTGTATTGCCTGCCTTGTGCCAATAACAACGTTCTATATAGACTGGAAAGGGGAATTTGTGGGATATGAGGTATTGTTGCTAGTTTAGTTTGTATAGCTTGGAAGTACTGAAATGCCCCTCCTGGCCTTTACTGCTGGGGGTGGTTTTCACACAGGGACACGGTTGTGTGTTTTCCCTATTGCTGATGTGGTTACCAATTCGGTGCAGTGGCAGTGGGGCTTCCACACTGCAGGATTCCACACAGTTTTCTTACCCAGTCCCCCAGCAGCAGGCATCCTGCCCAAGCCACTGGGGCTTTTGCAATAATAATTAAAAGATAAAAGAATCTGTACCTGAACATTGTTATAACAATATGTGCAACCACTTCACTGAATTCTTAGCTTTCATTTTTTAAAAATAAGTCTCTAGTGCTTTCTGTTGCAGAGATGTGCCTTCCCACTTATATCTGTGCAACAGAAGGTACGTGCTAGAGATTTACTTTTCCCCCCCTAAATGAAACCTGGTAATTGAGAGAAGCTGTTACACATATTATTATAATGTTATATCAATATAATGATATTGAATTGCCAATTTCTTAAAAAATCCAAAAGCCTCCCAGGGGCAGGGGGAAGAAGTGGCTGCCATGTGAGAAGGGAATCTCAGCTTTCACATGCACATGGCAGTCATCCAGGCTTTATGACGAACCTTCCCAAAAGTTTGCAGCAAAGCAGGTCAGAGAAAGGTCAGAGAGATGCTGGGCAAAACTCCAGGAGATACACAAATGTTCCACAATTCCCTGCTGCAAAAGTATCTTCCCCACAATGCATTGCTGAACCTTAGGGTTGCCAGGTCTGGGTTGGAAAATACCTGGAGACTTTGGGGGTGGATCCAGGAGAGGGTGGGGTTTGGGGAGGGGAGAGGCCTCGGCATGGTCCAATGCCATAGAGTCCACCCTTCAAAGCAGCCATTTTCTCCAGGGGAACTGATCTCTGTCAGCTGGAGAACAGTTGTAAAAGCGGGAGATCCCCAGGCCCCACCTGGAGGCTGGCAACCCTATTGAACCTGGTCCTGGAACCTGGATCCAATTTTTTTATTGGATCTGTTTTAAACTTCCTTCTCATTGTATCATCTCCCCCCTTCTGTTGTGAATACATGGGTGTCTGTGGTCTTGCTTCCCGATGGAATACTAAATTTACTTTTTACTTCCAACTAGAAAGCAAGAGATCTAGATCAGGGGTCCCTGACATGGTACCCATGGGAACCCTAGTATCCATTGACACTCTTCCTGGTTCCACTCAAGTTTTTTATTAGGAAGTGCATGAAGCCAGGTAGAGAGCTATTGCCCAGAAGAGCTACTGATTGGCCATTGGAGATCTGATTGGCTGTGCAAATTAAAATAACGATACCTGAATGTCCGCAGTTGCTACCATAGTGTTAGTTTTATTTTCTTTCTGTTCTCTTTTCCAGTGTATTTTCTTAAATCATTCCTCTTGTACTCTGTTGCACTGGGACTCCCTCTCTGTGTGTGTGGCTCCCCCTCCTATGATGGCCATTCTGTGGTGGGCTCTGCCTCCCATGGTGGCCATTTTGTGATTGTGCACTGCTCACCACTCTGTGTCCAAATTCAAAAGGTGCCCACAAGTTCGAAAAAGTTGGGGACCCCGATCTAGAGTGATCTCTGAGAAGGTAGACCACTCCTAATGAGGGAATAGCAGGCTCAGGCTGACAGACCTGGGCTCTCTGCACTGTTTTGGAGGAAAAGCTTCCTTGTCCTGCAGCTCAGATGAATACTGCTTGTTCTGTTCTAATGATGCAGTATGTGCAAATTTCCCAAGGTATGGACACCCTGTAAAGCTATACAGATTGAGTTCTATGTGCTGAGAAGTGCCTAGGCAAAACTGGAGGAAAGGGAATAAGATTTGAAGGAGCGAGAGAAAAACAGAGAAAGGTAAAGCTTCCTGTTAAATACTGAGGACTCATATCCATCCTAGGGAAACTGTGATTCTGATTGTGTTTACTCTGAAGGAAGTGTCACAGTATCAAGAACAACATAGTGAAAAATATGGTATGTGGGGGGAAAAGAAATGCACAGATGGGTGATGGGTATCTCACCCCCTCAATTACTTCTGTGGATGCCTTTGTGTGACTATATAAACCAGGGCTGTCGAATATAAGGGCTGGAAGCCGGAATCAGCCCGTCCAGGGCTCTTATATGGCCCACAGGCAACTGGTGCAAGGGAGAGAGTGCTGGGGGAGTGGGCAGAGCCACTCCACTGTGGCTTCAGCACGGCAGAACAACCTCATCTGCAGCAGTCAAGCATCGTGGGAGCCATCTTCCCAGCGCTGCACTGCTGCCTCTTCAGTCCACCTATGTGGACTCACATTTTAGCTGTATTTGAAGTGACTCATAAAAGCTCATGTCCTGCCACAAATTTTGTTAGTTGGTAAGGTGCTACTGGACTCTTGCTCCCTTCTAGTAATAAAGATTGCAAGCTGTGCTGTTAGGTTCCGCCCCCCCCCGCCCCGTCTCTCACATTCACCCTCCCTCACTCCTTCTCTCTCTGAAGTATGTTTGCACACAAAAGCTTATACCTGAAATAAAACTTTGTTGGTCTTAAAGGTGCCATGGGACTCCATCTCTCTCTCTGGCTCTTTCCTTCTCTCTCCATTCCTCCCCAAAAGAGGAGGAGGAGGAGACGTAGGAGCACTCAGCCAATCGAAGGATGGGAGGCTTGGCTTTCTTTCTCTCCTCTGCAAAGCAGGAAGCAGAAGAGCTGGGCAAAAATGAGCTACGATGCAGAAAGCAAATATGAGCCAGTTGCTCGTGGGCTGGATAGCAGCCCTGCAGGGCTGGTTCCGGCCCACAGGATGTATGTTTGACACCCTGCTCTAAGCTTTTTATCTCAGCTCCTCCTTTTTTATCTTATACAGAGAACCTACACATTTGAAAGATTCATGGTGGAATTCACACCAAATGTCTCTCATCTAACCTTTCTACCTCAGCTCTTTCCTTTTCCCTTTTCACAGAGAACCTACACTTGGAAAGATGGATGCATAGTGGAATTCATACCAAACCTCTCTGCCTCACCCCCACCTCCTCCATAAGAATTCCCAGTACAATCTTGCCTTCATATATCTGAAGAAATGAGCCATGACTCACAAAAGCTCATGCTGAAATAAATATTATTCTTTAAGGTGTCACCGGACTTTTGATGTATTTTGTCATACAGCTACCCCTTTGCAGTTTCTAAGGTCCCATGGTCTCCTGTTTTATTTTGCAGCTATAGTTTAACAGAGCTACCTAACTGGAATTGTTAAAGGAACTGTAACCCTCCCAGTATGCTGGTGGACACTGCATTGTTGTCTTTCTCACTTTCCTAGATTTATTTTATTTATAGTCTGTTTTTCTCACTGAAACACAAGGTGGATTATATAAGATATAAAAAGGTGCAATCAGACCACACAAAACAGCCAATGCAATGGGACCAGGATTACAGAATTAGGGAACAATCCAAGCAACAAATGAAGGCAGGCAAACTATAAATAATACAGGAAGTGGATTACAAGGTAAATACAATATAGTAAAAGCAAGTGATACCTACAATAATAATTGTGGTGGCCTATTCCATTATATAGGTGTCCTCCTAGGTTGTTCATTCTGCTCCCCATCTAGTTTCCACTCCAGTGTTTCTTGATTGTTTTCTCTGAACCAATGGGTCCCATGTGAGCTGTGGAAAAAAATGGGCTTCCAGAGCTTCTGCTTCATTCATTCTCTGTTGTGTGCAGCCTGAGCCTACGGTGTCTTCCAGACTGCAGCCCTGATGTGGTTTTTCCCTTCCTCTGATGAAAGCGCAGTCAGGGTAAACATTCCACGTTGCCTTTTTTATGTGGAACTACCCCATGTGTGTGTTGTGCTTTTGTTTTACAGACTATTCAGTTTTGGGTGTTCATTCTGGGGGGGTGCACTTACGCTGAAGCAATGGGGCAATTTAACACCCCTACTGGTCACCATCGGCTTATGCAGTTACTGCCCCCGAAGCCCCCTGGTGAATAGTTCTTTGCCTACCTGTCTGTCCTTTTGCTTATCTGCTTTCCGAGATTAGACTGGTTGTTTTGATTGGCTGTGCTGCCCTTCCTTCCCTTTTTGAATTACCAACAGTAGCTAAAGAATTCGGCATATAGGTATAATTATGGCCAATGGTGGGGCTAAGGGACTATGGCTTTGGATAGTTATTGCTGAGGTTTTTCAAAGCACCCTTACACTGGTTCTGTTCATCAATAAAGAATTTTGCTGTGTTTATGTTCCATTAATTATTACTGTGCACTGTTTTTGTTCACAGAAAGTGTGTCGGGGGACCGTCCACTACACAGGCATCTCTTTTGACCAACAGAGACTGGGGCCGCAGTCTTGGCTTGCCCTCTCATGGCTTTTTGGGCTACTGGCTCCCTCAGTGCTGGTTTGGCTTGCCTTCCTTCAAGGGGCTCATCAGGCT